AGGTTTTAGGTATTAACCACCCGGAGGTGAAGGTGGACGGGACCGCGCGGAGAGGGAGCCTTTTGCCTCCCAGGTCAGGAGGGAGTACTTTTCACTAGTGGATCAGCAGGGTTTCTTGCTTTCATTCTCAGCCACGAACCCTAGCCAGGAACTGGTAAAAAAGGGAAACCGGGCCGCTCCGGCAAAAAGCAGGACGAGGCGATCGGGAGCCCCGCCCAACCCTCCGGCTGGGATCCCTGGGAGGGGAGACCACGCAAGCGCAACACGCCCACCCGCGCCGCCCTCTCCCGCGCGCCGAGGACACTGCGCATGCGCCCTGCCGCCTCCGCCCCTCTCCTACCTTCCGCTGCTGCTGCTTCCACCGCGTGAACATTAAGTGTCGCCGCTGTTTGTTCTTAATCTCGGAAATGCTGAAGCCTGGAGGGAAGGCAGACGCTTTCGGGGCTTCGCCCCCGCTTTCCGTCGCCCCATCCTCACCGACTGCAGCCTCCTGAGGTTCTTCGGCAGCGCTCTTGCGCTTCAGGCCTTTCTTTCGGCTGCCGCCGGTCTTCTCCATGGTGTTGGCTCCTAGGCGTCCGTACGGAAACGGAAATGGCTTCCTCCTCCGACCCTCTTAGGCTTTTACTTCCGGGGCGGGAAGTTCTTAAAAATGTAGAATGCCGGCGGAGCATTTAACCTTTTAAGAAGGTGCTGAAATTTAGGTTTGAAAAAAGTTAATGGGGTTGCCAAGCTGTATGGACAGTGAAATAATGAATTCGTGGAATTCTTTATTGAACGTTTTCTATGTTCAAGACCTCAAAACATTAAAACAAAATCTTTTCAGTAGAGAATTTACATTTTACTAGAGAGATCTAACATGAGCTTACAGGTATATAATGTGGTGAGCTATAAAGTAAATAATACACGGTGTGAAAAAAAATAGAACAGGATAAAGAAGATGAAGGGTAGAAAGGCATGTTGCAGCTTTTAAATAGGAAATCATAGTCCCTGGCTGCCAACGTAGCTCAGTTTGGAGCGTGGTCCCCATGTGTGAAGGTTTTGGTTGATCCCCGGTCAGGAGCAAAGATTTGCAGGAGATAATGGGGTAAACTGTGGCGTTATCTGGGGGAAGAGCTGCAAATCTGAGAAAAGCTGTCCAGGCAAAGGAAGCACACAGTTGCAAGGCGCATAGTCAGTAGCAAGCCTGGCATGTTTGGGAAGAACCGTGGAGGCCAGGAGTCAAACGGGAAAGAAGAGGAAGGGGAGGAAGGGGTTAAGAGTGAGAGATTGTGTAGGGTTTTTTTGTTTTGTTTTTTTTTTACTTTGGTTTTTATTTTATGTGACATGCAGATCTCTTGGAGGATTTGAGAAAAAGAGTAACATGACCTGACTCAGATTTTAAAGGCATTGTTCAGACTCTCCTTTTGAGAATAGACTTAAGGGGAGAGAAAGTGAAAGGAGGGAAGAAATGACAGTGTCTTGAATCAGGGTGGTGCTAATGGAGGTGGTGAGAAGTGGTCAGATTCGTTTGAAAGTTCCTGATGATTGAATGAAGGACATGAGAGAAAGAAGAGTCAGGGTGACTCCAAGACTTTGGAACTGAGCGACTGCAAGGATGGAGTCACATCAGTTAAGATGTGAGATACTACTGGTGGAGCAAATTTGAAGAGTAAAATCATGATTTCAATTCTGGAAATGTTAAGGATGAGACACTTAGTTATGATTGCTGTTCTCAAGTACTCAATTGGGATGTAGATTCTGCAGCAAGAGAGAGAGCTATGGACTAGAGATCAAAATTTGGGAGTCATCAGCATACAGGTAGTGTTTCAAGCCATTATAGTGAATGTAGCTAGAGAACTGAAAAGGAGAAGAAGATGAAGGACTGAACCCTGGAGGAGTCCCACCTGAAGAGTTGGAAAGAAAAGGAGAATCCAATAAAAGAGAAAGACAGTAGAGAGCCATGGAAGCCAAGTAAAGTGTTTCCCTAATGGTTAATTTTCTTTTATTCCTCATTTCAGTTTTATGAAAATGTCCTTCAAACAGAGACAAAAGACTTCCTTTTGATTGACTATTAGGAGTTAATTTTCCAGAAATTGCCTTAATTTCAAATTATATGTTTCACTATTGACACTGTTTGATAATCCAGGTCACTGCTGGCAGTACTCATAATGCCATGCAGAAGGTGGAGTAAGAGGTCTAAGAGAGTGAGGAGTTACGGGTGATGAAGGCTACTTATTGATGTACACAACCCAGTGCTATTTCTTAGGCTAAACTATCTCCCTGTTACCTTTTATTTGTGGACCCCTGAAGGTTGGCTTTACTTATTATTATTATTACTAGAAGCCTGGTGCACAGATTCGTGCACTGGTGGGGTCCCTCACAGTCTGGGACCCCTCGGGGATGAGGTCTAAGCCTGAAGTTAGAAATCCCTCTTGCAGTCAGGTGCTTTTGCAGTCTGGGACCCCTTGCTCCTTACCGCCCGCCTGCAGCAGAGGCAGGAGAGGTTCCTGCCACTGCTGCTGCACTCGCCAGCGGCCTTCACCCTGTGGGAGTCCACTGACCACCAGGGGGCAGCTCCTGCATTGAACGTCTGCCCTTAGTGGTCAGTGCACGTCATAGTGACTGGATGTTCCTCCATTCGATCGATTTGCACATTAGGGTTAAATTATATAGGATGCTCTCATATATATTAAAAAACCTCTAACAATGATGGTAGAGCTTGTATTGATAATAATTATTATCTTTAAGCCAGCGGTTCTCAACCTGTGGGTCGCGACCCCTTTGGCAGTCAAACGACCCTTTCACAGGGTCGCCTAAGACCACCCTGCATATCAGATATTTACATTACAATTCATAATAGTAGCAACATTATAGTTATGAAGTAGCAATGAAAATAATTTTATGGTTGGGTCACAACATGAACTGTATTTAAAGGGCCAGAAGGTTGAGAACCACTGCTTTAGGCAAGTAAAAGATTAATGGAAGCTTCTGATCTAGATTGAAGAGTAGGTAAAAGCTGTATTTACCTACTCCCACAACCACTTCAAAATTACAACTAAACTACAGAACAACCATTATTGAGAGCCTCCTCAAGTATAGCTGAACAGAAATCCAATAAACTAAGGATATACAGAAGAATCCATGCCGAGACTTATAAGAGGGGTGGAAGGTAGAATGGGCTGCTCCCATACCCACATGTGGTGGTTAAAAACACAGAGGCATATTTTGGCTACAGAGGTTCCCCTTTGTGGAGCAAGAGGTCCCAGTCCCATACAAGGCTCTCAGCCCAAGGTTCCAGTGCCAGGAAGAGAGATTCTCATAACTTCTAGCTGTAAAAACAAGCAGGGATTGTGGCTGAGAGAGATGGATTGCTCCTGGAGTTCCAGACATTCCTCTTAAATGGCCTATGCATGGACTTACTCAGACTCACTTATGCTGAGCTACTGTGCTGGGCAGCAGGTCAAAAGGTGCCAAGGGCCCTTGCTGGTTTTGCACAAGGGTTAGAATGTCAGCATGTGGACAGAAGGGTTGTGGGTTTGATTCCTGGTCAGGGGCACGTACCTCGATTGCAGGCTTGATCTTGAAGGCAACCAATCAATGTGCCTTTCTTACATCAATGTTTCTCTCCCCACTCTCCCTTCCACTCTCTCTAAAAATAAATGGGAAAAAAATCCTTGGGTGAGGATTAAATAAAATGGTACCAAGGTCACACGGAGGAACTGAATTGTCTGGCTTCTTTCTTTTCCAGATCACTGATTTGATTCTAAGCTTAATCTACTCTATTGTTGATTCCCTATAAATTTTTCTTCCTTTCAGTTAGTGTATCTTTCATTTCTGATTAGTCCTGTTTTATGCTGTTGAGGTTCTCAATAAGTTCATTGAGTATTTTTATCACCAGTGTTTTGACCTCTACATCTAGTAGATTGCTTGTCTTCATTTTGTTTAGTTATTTTTCTGGAGTTTTGTTCTGTTCTTTCATTTGGGACATGTTTCTTTGTCTCCTCATTTTGGCAGCCTTCCTGTGTTTGTTTCTATGAATTAAGTAGAGCTGCTGTTTCCTGGGCTTGGTAGAGTGGCCTTATGTAGTAGGTGTTCTGTAGGGTCTAATGGCACAGCCTCCCTGATCACTGAAGCTGGGCACTCAAGATGTAACTCCCCCTGCTCCCCATATGGGCTGTGTATACCTTCTTATTGTAGTTGAGCCTTGACTGCTTTGACATGTCAATGGGAGGGAATTACCTCCAGGCCAATCAGCTGCAAAGACTGGCTGCAACCATTGACTACTGGTATCTGACCATCATGGAGGAACAGCTCTGCAGGAGTCCACCCCACAGAGCAGTACTTACTTAAGCAGGGCTCTGGTGCCTGCTGAGTCTGCCCCTTGAGTGTGTTGTTTGTGGAGGCGGTTGGGTGGTGATGCTTTGCCATGTTCTGATGCTGTCTCCTGGGTGCACTGGCTCTGGGGCTTCCCAGAAGGTGCAGGTCAAGGTCAGCTTCCACCTGTGTTCTACCTGGGCCCACCTAGCATGAGCTATAAAGTGATTTCTCATGGCTGCTTATTGTGCTGAGCTTGGAGGTGCCCTGGCAAGGCCATGCTGCAAACTAAGACTGGCTGCTGCTAGTGCTGTGTCTAGGGTCACTTAGCAAGAGGTACAGGGCATGTTGAGACCAGATGCTGCTTGTTTGATATATTTTAGGAAAGTCTGAAGCATGAGTCAAGCCAGGCCATTAAGATGGATAAACCACTAAAACAGCCTTGGGTGAGCTTGAAAGTTGTCTGGAAGGGCAGGATTCTCCAAGACAGAAGTGCTGGCAGAAGCCCATTGTTCCTTTGCTGACCCCTACCTCTGCAGGGTCAGGTAGGCACTGTATCTGAGTCTCCATCAACTTGGCTAACACTGTTGGTCCATCCCTCGTTAATCCCCGTGACCCTGCCCCACTCAAGCAGCTTCCAGTGGCTTTTCCATACAAAGGGCTTACCTTGGCTCATGCTGTGGAATTTTCTAAAATCTATCAAAGGTTCACAAACTTCAAACAAGAAGCATTTGGCTTTGGGACACCTCATACCTCTTGCTAAGCAGTCCCAACTCCTGGCAGCCTGCCTCAGTTTACAGCGTGATCTCTTCTGGGTACCTCCAAGCCCACTACAAGTACCAACCATCTGCATATCATTTTGTAGCTCATACCAGGTGGCCCTGGTTTGGGCACAGGCATCAGCTGACCTAGGCCTGCATTTTCTTCCAGGAGGCCCCGGAGGCAGTGTACCTAGTGGACATCTTCAGACCACATTGAAGCACCAGCCAACCTCTCCCACAAGAGACACACTCAAGGGGTGGACTCAGCAGGCACCAGAGACCTTCTGAAGTAAGTCCTGCTCCTGTTCCATAGGGTGGGTCCCTGCACAATTGATCCTCTACAGTGGTTGAAGCCAATCCTCTCAGCCAGTTGGCCTAGGGGTAAATCTCTCCCCTTGAGGTGCCAAGAGCAATCAAGGCTCAACAACAATAGGGGGTGTGCACAACCCACATTGCGGGAGGGGGGCACATCTTGAGTGCTCAGCTTGGGTGATCAAGGAGGCTGTGCCACTGGACGCTACAAAACACCTACTACATTAGGCCACTCTACCAAGCCTGGGAGAGCAGCTCTACCTAATACATAGAAAAACAAACACAGGAAGGCTGCTAAAAGAAGAAGAGTGCTGGCCAGGTGGCTCAGTTGGTTGTAGCATTATCCCAAACATCAAAAGATTGCAGGTTTAATTCCTGGTCAGGCCACATACCTAAATTGCAGGTTTGATTCCTGATTGGGGTGTGTATAGGAGGCAACTGATCGATGTTTCTCATTGATGTTTCTCTCCCTTCCTCTGTGAAATCAATAAAAATATATTTAAATATATTAAAATGAATAAATAAATAAGTAAATAATAAATAAATAAACAAATAAATAAATAAAATAAGCAAACAAGATGGAAACAAATTCCTAAATACAGAGTTAGGCAGTTGTCGGATGGGAGGGGGTTTGGGAGGATGGGTGAAAAAGGGGAAGGGATTAAGAAGTACACATTGGTAATTACAAAATAGTCATGGGCATGTAAAGTATCGCATAGGGAATATACTCAACAATATTGTAATAACTATGGCCCCAGTGTCCAAAATTTAGTTAATAGTAATGTACCAATATTGGTTCTTAGTTTTGAAAAATGTATTATGGTAATGTAAAATGTTTACATTAACTGAAATTGGATGAGGGTATATAGAAACTCTCTGTATTATTTATGCAACATTTCCATAAATCTAAAATTATTCCAGAAGAAAAATTTCTTTTAAAAAAATCTCTTTCTGATCCTCACTTAACAAACTATTTGAATTATTTTTAGGTAAAAGAAATTAAGCTACTAACTGTCAAAAAACACATTTTCTAAATATCTAGAACAGGCATTTACTCTCTATTCCTTGAACTTATATGTACAGAGTTTTTACTTGAATACTTTGCACTTGATGATATGTTATTTTAATAACAATCCTCAAATAATTTCATGGATGACTGATCTCATCCACCTCCGCCCTCCTCCAGAGCACTTAATGCAGTGTGCTGCAGGAAGTAGGCATTCAGAGCTTGGATTTCTCTGACTAACCAACTGACTCAATGTGCTACCTGTAATTATATTTTAAAATTTATTCCGAGCAGTTCTAGGAATTCAAGGGGGTAAAGTAAAAATCAACTAACTATTCAACTTGGGTTTGCATAAATTGTCTAGAGTGAATAGACTTCATCAAAACTTGTCAAAATGCAGAATTTGTCAGTGGAAACCAGAATATCAAAATTTTTAATCATCCATATGAAATACACTCGAGGCTGAAGGTGAATAGTTCATGGTGAAGTTAACATTTCTAAAATAAATTTTGGGCTGAACAGAAAGTTAGTTATCAGTCTTACTTCTTTCATGCTTTCTGTTTTATTGTATTTTGTTTTTTAAAGTACTTAAGGATAACACGTTATCTTGCTCTGGCTATAGATATATGTTGAGAAATTCTGAAAAAGGCCTGTAATAGAAGAAACTATTTATCTCCCTTATCTTTTTTGGTAATATGTATGTAAACTAAAGCCAAAACTACTTTAAAATACCAAGACTTATGATACATCTAACATTAGAGATTCTCAAAGTCTTTCCAATGTATCATCTGAATTCTTCTAAAATTTTTTATTTATAAAATAAATAAAATTTATTTATAAAAATAAAAGTTTATAAAAAATTTTTAATAAATAAACTAGAGGCCCAGTGCACGAATTCGTGCACGGGTAGGGTCCCTCAGCCTGGCTAGCAATCGGGGCCGATTGAGGCCGTCTCACCCAGTCTTGATCGGGGTGATGGGGGCTGGTCGGCCGGGGAGGGACCATAGGAGGGACCATGGGAGGGCTCCAGGGTGTGTCCAGCCCTCTTGCCCAGTCCCAATTGGTCAGACCCCAGCAGCAAGCTAACCTACCGGTCAGAGCATCTGCCCCTTGGTGGTCAGACACTTAGCATATTACGCTTTTATTATATAGGATGCAAGGCAGGAATGATCCCCACTTTTCCAGTGGGAAAATAAAAATTTGAAGAGTTTAAAAACAGCACCCAGATAAGCCAAGGATCATAATTCTTAGGCCAAAGCTCTTTCAACTAATCATGTGTCATGTACTTAGATTCATATTATTTAGAATGAATTGTTAAGTGAACAAACCCATACATCTGCATATACTCATTTTCTTTTCTTGATTCTGCAATGAATATTCAGGAACAAAGCACTTGATGAAGTGCAATGTGGATCCCTTAAAAGAGGCAGATGCATGAAGTTTGGAGCAGTAAATGTAAGAGCAATATTTTTCATTTAACCATTTCAACCCATGTTTTCTATTGCAGAGATGGTAGAGGTTAATGTAATTTTGGCAAAATAAGTTTAAGTAAAAAATATGTATATTTGATGCATTGTTTTCCATATATATAATTAAACTATGCTGATTTAACTCGGGGGCTCACAATTATAGGAAGTGGGAAAGAATTATCTTTATGATTTCCTGAAGTGAGGTACTAAATTGAAAATTATTTGGTTGACACAATTACAAAATTATTGGTCATAGGCCAGGGAGAATTTTGATTTTTCTTCCAGGTTTCTCTCTCAGGAATAAAATCGTTTTCAAATATTTGGACTAGATTTCACATTGAAATTGGGCTGCCATTTGAATTACTAGGACACTGTGCCTCTAGCCTTATACAAAATGAAGATGTACCTAATGTACTTTACATAGCTGATAAAAGATACTATTTCATATTTTATCTAAAACTAGCATAAACATCTTAGCATTTGTTGAGAAACTAACATCTAGCATAGAGTGGTCAGGGTTTGATATTCTAGATAAGGAAACACAGTGTGTTATATACAGAGGAACATTGTATTGTCATATCACACATTTAAATAGGAGTCATGGTATTTATCCATAGGCATCTTCACTAAAAATGGAAGTCTCCCTAAACTTGGAAATGTACTTAATGAGTATAACACATTTGTCCATATACACTATTAAGTAAGATGATTCTATTACTTATTCATTTATTCTAGAAATATTTCTGAACCCTCACAATCAAGCATGGCATTGTGAGGAAGCCAAAGAACAAAACACAACATAAGGCCCCTTTCTGCAAGGACTTTAAAATATAATGAAGAATCAGAACATACAACATAAAATCTTATACCTCAATCCAGGCATTAAATAGCACTGGAAAAGAACTGTAGAAGTTAGAAGATTATATCTATCAATAAGTACTATGGTATTAAATAAAAAGGGAGCCCTGGTTTTGGGAAGTAATGTATTTTAATGGTTAGGAACATAGGTTTAATTTTTAAAATCTTTATAGTACACTAGTGGCTGCTGCATGAAATTCGTGCCCGGGGGGGAGGGGGGCAGGCGGGTGTCCCTCAGCCCGGTCTGCACCCTCTTCAATCTGGGACCCCTCGGTGGATGTCTGACTGCTGGTTTAGGGGACATCCCTCTAACAATCCAGGACCACTGGCTCCTAAACGCTTACCTGCCTGCCTGCCTGATTGCTCCTAACTGCCTCTGCCTGCCAGCCGGATCGCCCCCTAACTGCTCCCCTGCCAGTCTGATTGCCCCCAACTGCCCTCCCCTGCTGGCCTGATCGCCCCCAAAGCTTTTATTAGTATAGATATAACCCTTCAGAGAAAATTTCACGAACCCTGCTTTACAATAAGGGTTTGACGATTGAATCACTGGGGCCAGACACCAAGATTTCCTTTCTTTGAATAGTGGAGGGAATAATTATCTTGTCTTTAAGTTGCCCTGAACATCAAATGAGATAATGACATAGAAAAATATAAAACCACCATATAAAGACAACTGTCTTTTGTATGTACTGAAAAGACAATAAAGCGGTAAAATGAAAAACACTTTTTATTCTCCCCCTTTCTTCCTTTACAGCCTTTATTTGAACTTTGAAATTTATAAAAATTTCACTCCTATTTTCATTTCTTTACATTCAATATTATTTTGTATTATTTTCAGGTTTTATATTAGTTACAGAATAGTAGTTAGGCAATCATATACTTTACAAAGTGTTCCCTGATATTTCCACTACCACCTGGCATCATACCGTCATTACAACACTGTTGACTATATTCCCTATTTAAGTGACAATAGGTTTACAGGTTCCTTCCAATCTTTGTTTTGTGTTGCTCGCCCTTCCTTTTCTTTCTCACTTCTTCCCTCATTTTCTGTATATAGTATCTCAATTGGCCCTCAAAGCTCAGCGAAGGCACTGGGACACGCTTAATCCATTTTACAGAGCAGGAAACAGGCCAATTCCAGTTGGCTGCGGAACTGGACTCAGTGCGCAGGGAGCCCTCACAGCCATGCTTTCTGCCCTTCCTAAGGGGCAGCTGTGGGGTAAACAGAACAAACCCCATCACACTTCCAAGCCCCGTTCTCAAGCACCTCTTCATTGCGGACGCTCCACATTCTTTCCTCTCACCCGCTCCCACTCCCATTCTTTACTGTCCCCCCTTCTCTGGAGCAGGTGATAGGCTTTGAACTCACGCACAGGGGTGCGCCGCAGTGGGGCAGGGCGGGCGCAGGCTTGCTTTTGGGCCAAGGTGGGAGCAGGAGTCATCGCCTCTGAAGTGCAAAGGCTGCCCGGGTGAGGCCCAGCGCCCGGAGCTTCTCTGAATCCCACCAGTCAGTTGGGTACCCTGCAGTGTGGCACCCCTCCACTGAGGTGGCACCGCCCCTCAACCCCCGCCTCAGGCTGCGGGTCCACGCCCTTCCGCCCAGGTGTCCTTCCATGCCCCTTGTTCCCCGCCGGGCTGACCCACGTCTTGGGGCCACTGCAGAACCTAGCTCTCCGCAGGTGAGGCAGATCCCAGCCTGCTGCCCCCTGCCCTGGCCTGAGCCCCCTCCGGTGCACCCCACCTCGCCAGGTTTTTGCCTTTGATCTATGGCATTGGTGACAGCACACTCCTAGCAAGCCTGGTACTGAGGGGCACAGGGTCAGTTCTTTGCCCAGAATGTTAGAGGTTGCAGTTGCATTTGCAGATGTTGCCCAGAGCCTGCTGGTGAAGGCAGCGCCTGTGTGGGGTGTCCTCATATAGAGCCGATGTGGCACCGCTCTGCGCCCCTTGGGCCACTGCCTCCTGGCCGGCCATTTCACCAAAGCCTCGGCGCTCGCCCAGGAGCAGCCCCTCAGGCGGCACCACAGTTGGCCTCCCACTGCTGCTAGGTCTCCACCCTCACCTGGGTCACCTCCTTTTTTCCACATTCAGTCTTCATCCATCCCACTCTCCTGCAGTTTTTGAGCTCCAGGCCCGAAAGAAAAGGACCAAGGCCAAGAAGGACAAAGCCCAAAGGAAGTGAGTCTTGAACCCCCACATCCCACTCTCTGGATTTCCTCCTGCACCTCCCCTGTGTCACATCTTGAACAGGCACCCTGCGCCTAGCCACTTGGCCTCCTGGCGGCCTGGTAGAGTCGGTCTCTGCGAAGCTGTGGATCTGTGGCCAGAGGCCCGGCCTGGGTCTCAGCAACCCCATGCCTGCTGGAAAGGGCTGTGGAGGAGGACCAGAGCACATCGGTCATTAGCTCCCCAACTCCAAAGGAGGCACCACAGACTCACATCCTGGCCACAGGCCCCACTCCCCTCTCCCGCCTGCCTGTCCCCTGCCAAGCGGTCCTGACATTACAGAGTCCTGGCCTAATTTGCATATTCCTCTCTTATTATATAGGATAATGTTATTGTCTATATTCATTATACTGTACTTGAATCTCTATGACTTATTTACTACCCATTGCAAGTTTATTCTCTTAAACACCATCACTCTTATCTTCTTCCCCCAACCCAATGAATAGTAAGTAAGCCAAGCAATATACTAGATGCAGAGTTCAAAACACTGGAGATAAGGATGCTCAATGAACTTAGTAAGAACCTCGACAGCATAAAAAATGACCCATCAGAAATGAAGGATACACTAACTTAAATGAAGAATAATTTACAAGGAATCAACAGAAGAGTAGATGAAGCTGAGAATCAAATCAGCAATTTGGAATATAAGGAAACAAAAAACACCTGGTCAGAACAAGAAAAAAAGAAAAAAGAATCCAAAATATGAAGATAGTATAAGGAGCCTCTGGGTCAACTTCAAGTAGACCAATCACATCATGGGGTTAGAAGTAGAAGAGGGAAAGCAAGAAATTGAAAACGTATGTGAAAAAATAATGACAGAAAACTTCCCTAATCTGGTGAAAGAAATAGTCTTAGAAGTCCAGAAAGTATAGAGAGTCCCAAACAAGATGAACCCAAAGAGGTCCACACCGAGACACATCATAATGCAAATGCAAAAGGTTAAAGGCAAAGAGAAAATCCTGAAAGCAGCAAGAGAAAAGCAGTTAGTTATCTACAAGGGAGCTTTTATAAGAATGTTAGCTGATTTCTCAATAGAAACTTTGCAGGATAGAAGGCATTGGCACAAAATATTCAAAGTGATAAAAAGCATGGACCTACAACCAAGATAACTCTACCCAGCAAAGCTGTCGTTTAAAATGGAAGGATAGACAAAGAACTTCCCAGACAAGAAAAAGCTAAAAGAGTTCATCACCACCAAACCAGTATTATATGAAATGTTAAAAGGTCTTCTTTAAGTAGAAGAGGGAAAAAAAGATTAAAAATATAAACAATAAAATGTCAATAAATACACATCTATCAACAATTTAATCTAAAAAGTGAAATAGATGAACAAGCAGAACAGAAACAGACTCATAAATATAGAGAACATTTTGATGGTTGCCAGATGGGAGGGGTATTGCGGAAATGAGTAAAAAAGATGAAGGGGTTAAGAAGTACAAATTGGTTGTTATAGAATAGTCATGGGGATGTAAAGTATAGCACAGGGAATATAGTCAATAATATTCTCATAACTATGCATAATATCAGATAGGTGTGAATATGTGTTTGTCCTGTTTGTTCTATTAATTTTTCAGTTCCTTAAAGGTTCCACTATTGAAGTGGCTTTGAATAATTTCTTAAGTCCTGATAATTACATCACCAAAGAACCTAAATCCTGGAAATAAATAAGCTCAGGCAATATTCTTAGGGTCTATTCTATAAAATGATCCACTCTATAAAACCAAGTGGTTCATCAAAAATATGGTAATATTTAGGAGTATTGCCGGGAGCTGGTCCATCCTTGCTGTTTGACACAGTCGCTGCAGGGAAGAAACATCTGCACAGCATATGTTTCAAGGGACCTGGCGTATATGGCATACTGTTCTTAATATGTTTGCTCCCCTTCTTGGAGCTATGTGTTTTAACCAAGGTCACCTCTCCGAGAAAGGTTGTTTCCCCAGCTAGGGATTTTTCCCTGAAGTTAGGGAGGGAATAAAACCCCTTAACTAAGTGCCAGGCGGGTAGTTAATCACTTTAACTACGAACAATCACGCTTAAGCTACATAATCTTTACTCCCTGGAATGGAGATAAGAAATGCCCTAACCTTTGGAATAGAAATTGATAGGATTAAAATCAACTGGTATAAATACAGATGTAACAAGACAACAAAAGACAGAACCTGGAGACAGAACCTGGCTGAAGAACCTAGAGACAGAACCTAGAGACAGGACTTGGCTGGAGATCCGAGACAGAACCTAGACACAGAACCTACACACAGAACCTACACACAGAACCTAGAGAGAGAACCTAGCGAGAGAACATGGCAAAAGATCCTGGACAGAACCTGGCTACAGAACTTGGCTGGAGAACCTAGACAGAACAGGGCAGGAGAACCTAGACAGAACATGGCGAGAGAACCTACACAGAACCTGGCTGGAGAACCTGGAGAACCTGGCTGGAGAACCTAGCAAGAGAACATGGCACCAGAACATGGTTGGAGATCCTGACCAGAACTTCGCTGGAGATCCTGACCAGAACTTGGCTGGAGATCCTAACCAGAACTTGGCTAGAGATCCTGGCTAGGCTGCTGATCAACTGAACGCTGTCTCCGTGTCATTTCTTCTTCACTGACTCCGTCCACACCTTTGGGGACCCCTGGACCTGCTGGGGTTGGACCCCAACAGAGTATAAACTTTACCACTACAGATATGAAATGAACATAAATAAAAATCAGCAAATACTGTTGGCAGAAAATGGTACACCATACTTGCATGGAGATTAAGTAAGATTGAATATTCGGAAATTCTAATGAAAAGCTTATGTCCTACCAAGACCACTTTTCCCTCCCCACTGATGTTCTACCCTTAGTAGAGAAATACTGCCTTAGTAAAGATTCTGAATAACTACCAACTACTATGCCTTCTATATATGATTCCAAGTAGAGTGGGCCCTTGGTGAATATTGGTGTCTTAACTGGAAAATTCACTAGTTCATTCAACAACCATTTATTCAGAAACTACGCCCCCCCCTCCCCCCGCAAAAAGCTCATAGATCTGTAGGGGATACAAGCATATAAAGAAATTATTACAACACAATAAAATACATTTTAAAAATAGAGTCATGTGCAAGATATATAATGGTGATACCAAGATGAAGAAGAAAACGTGGTGGAGGAGGGGATGATAGGTATCAGAAAGGCATGAAAAGTGTTTGAATTGAGTCAGTGAGTTCCAGGTAGACAAGGAATAAGGTAGGTAATTTCAAGGAGAGGGTGTTGCCTGTGTAAAAACTCATAAATATGAAATAGGGTAACATGTTCAGGAGCAGAAAATTGCATGGGATTATTAGGACATAAACTGCAGGGGAAAAAAGGAATTGAAGATTAAGCTGGAGGGATAGGCAAGGATATGAATATGAAGGAAGTTAGAGCTTTATTGGACAGAATAGGGAGTCAATGAACAGTTGTAAGGAGGGGAGTTACACAATAAATATAATTGAACTCCAACTTCTTCCAATTGATTTTCAGAATATTAAAAAGTAATCAAGCATATGAGATTTTTTATTTATCTAAAGTGGTCATCTGTAGTGAGCATATATTGTTTACGTCTGCCCAGCATCCATTCTTTCTTTAATTTTTTTTTGTAATAGCACTTTGATTTTCTTTTGGGGGTGGAGGCTTAATCTTTTCACAATGTCTACAATCTCCTACAACTATCCAATAAGTTATCCTACTCTCCTTAGCTGAAAGTTGAGCAAGAGATCTGAGCAAGGTTTCTTCAATTCCTCCAGGAATTTAAATTTTGTAACGAGTGACTCAAGGATGGGAAAAGATTATAGCTGATTCACTTGGTGTCAGCGACCTGCCATTGTCAACAAACTGCCCTAGAGGAAGCCCTACTTCCTGTTACTCAGGTCACCAAAATGACCAGAATTACCTTAGTCTTTTCCTTTTTGAAGCTAGGTGCTCCCAGATTACTTTTGATTCCTTGAATTTTCCCATAACCTTCCAATAAATTCCATTTTGCTGAGGTAATACAGTCTCAAACCAGGTTTGGTTTGCTTCCAAGCTAAGAACCATAATTTATACATCACCTATGGGCAAGACCTTTACCTACTGGAATTAGCTGGAAATTTTGTACTAAGGTTGTTGCACTTTACCAGTCCAGCAGCTTTTTACTGTCTGGGTCTTGATGCTGCATTAGTATGCCGGCAAGAGGTGGGCTCAGGTTTGCTTTGCTCTCAGAACCTGCAGTCCTTCCTCTCTCTCCTCCTCTTCTCCCCTCAGCCACTAACCTGGAACAGAGGGAATCTCAACTAGTGAAAGTCTTCTTCCCCTTATATTTCTGACCAAGACACTTTTTTTATGTTTAACATCGACGCTTTCACACCTTTCACAAAACCACTATGTTCTCCTAAGGTCCAGGAAGAGTCATAAGGGACTTGTAGGCCTCTTCTGCTTTCTACCTCGCCCCAAAGCTACTCAGAGGCAATAAACACATAATTTTTTTAAGTGCTTGAATTGGGAAGCAGGTTGGAGGCAGAAGAAAACTGAAAAATCACAAAAGAGGAAGATAAAAGAAGTTAATATTTCAAAATACTTCAGTAGTTTAAAAATAAAAATACTTTTCAAGATACCTATAATAATAATAATAATAATAATAATAATAATAATAATAGTAATTATTATTATTATTTACTAGAGGCCCAGTGCATTAAATTTGTGCATGGGGGGGTGGGAGGGAGGGTCCCTCAGCCTGACCTGCACCCTCTCCAATCCAGGAGCCCTCAGGGATGTCCTACTGATGGCTTAGGCCCGCTCCCCATGGTTCTCTGCTGTCTGCGGGGCCCACTTGGCCGCTCCCGGATCGCCGGGATGATGGCCAAGCAGATCCTCCTCTCAGCGGCTGCCCCTGGGACTGGAGGACTCCAGCGGGGCTGAGAGGACTGGGCACTACCATCTTGTGGCTATGGGCGCTGCCATCTTTGTGTTGGAGTGACAGTTAATTTGCATAATACTCTTTTATTAGATACGATTGTATTTTTATTTGTATATTTTGTGTTATTTTATATTTTACTCATGGATGGAAAGTGTACATTTATTACTAGATATATTGGGTTGTTTCTCTGGGTAGATAGAGGCTCTTCTTAGTCACTGTAATGACAGCAATGATTATTCCTATGTCCAAAGATGAACAATCTTTTAAAAAAAAATTTACCTTTATTATTGAAAATATTATAAATACCCCCCTTTTTTCCCTATTGATCCTCCCTCTACCTGGACCTCCCCAGGGCTTCACCACACTATTGTCTGTGTCCATGGGTTATGTATATATGTTCTTTGGTTAATCTCTCCTACCCCCACCCCAGCCAGTCTATCCTATTCACTGGCTTGTGGGTCATCCACAAGATATTGTCCTTAGTAATCTTTTTCATGCACATTTTCTGACCTCTGGCATTCAAATGTTTCCTGTATGTTTTTATGTAATATCAAAGCCAGGAGGTGGAATGTATGGGGGGTGCAATAAATGACTGGGAATGTGTTAATATGTTTCATAACTGGAATTTATAATGGTGGACTTTTCTTCTTAAGTCTCCATCTCTGCCACATTTTGAAATAATTTTTACCAGGTTATACAGATATTTTCATAGAACCAGGGCTCAAGGGAGATAAATGATTCCTCCTCTAATCCTGATCACACTCTCATTCTTCCTTCTCATTTCATTCTTTTTCCTTTTTTATACAGAAACTTGGAATTTTGCAGTACAGAGAAAAAGGAGTAAAAGAGGAAGAGAAAAAGCAACAAAAGAAGAAAAAGCCATTACCAGTATGTGGAATCTAATGAACAAAATAAACTCACGAACAAAATGGAACCAGAAGCATGGACACATGGAACAGACTGGCTAGTGCCCAAGTGGAGGGGGATGTTACTAAATAAAGAAGGTGAAGGGATTAGCTAAAGAACATATAATATATGTCATATATGCACACCCCATGGACATGGACAGTAGTGTGGGAAAGGCCAGGGGAGGGGGAGGCAGGAGTGGGTGGAGGTGGGCAAAGAGAGCAGGTGGAAAGGGGAACACCTGCAATAAGGTCAACATTAAAAATGTTTTATAATAAAAAGGAAGAAAATTCTAGTAAAGGAAGCTGAAGAGAAATATGAAAATTTGAAAAAGGAGGAACCAATGCTCATAAAATATTTTTAAAATATTTAAAAGCAAATGACTAGAACTAGTCAACACAAAAGTGTCGCTTATCCCTCAGCCTCTCTTTTTATATCGGCATCCCCACTACCATCCATCTCTCCCTCTTCCAGCCTTTCTGATCAGGACATCTTACAAAAGTCTTAATAGTTTTGGGCATGTTTTTTTCAATATACAAATTAGAGCTATTGCTTGTCATTACATGGGTGCCTCTAATTATTATTATTATTTTTAAAAATATTTTTATTGATTTAAGAGAGAGGAAGGGAGAGAGAGAGAGAGAGATGGCTGCCTCCTGCACGCCCCCTACTGGGGATCGAGTCCACAACCCCAGGCATATACCCTGAGTGGGAATAAAACCATGACCTGGTTTGTTGCTCGATGCTCCACCACTGAGCCATACAGGCCAGGCAAGGGGGCCTCTAATTAAAAAGAGAACTGCTTCTAACTGCTTTATTAGTAGTAGTTGTCAAGTCAGCCTTCTTGCAAGAGACTACCTGAGAGGACAATCCAAGAAGGGAATCAAGGCTGAATCCACCTCTTACTACTGTCCTCAGGATGGAGGTAAGCTTCTGCACTGGACCTCATAAAGTCATTTTTTTATTTTGTTCTGTGTTTCTATTTTAGTGATCTTTACCTGCATATTGTTGGTATTATTTGAAAACTTCTGTTTAGCTTCAGCTATTTTCTTGGATATGAATGTAGTTTATGATAATACAAATGATACTTTTCTTAAGAGAGATGGCAAACAAAGCTTAGTTCATTTCTTTTATTATAGGTTTGCCTTCTAAGGAGAGGCCACACTGAGATGAAGGTAGCATTATTTAGGCTAGCAAATGTCATTTGCTTGTGGTGTTCTGGTATTTCTTTCTTTCTTTAACTTCCCGGTATAATAATAAATCTTTTTCCTTTCATCCCGTCAGCTTAGAAGAGGAGAGTGAGAGGTGGCTTCCTCCAATGATGGGACCTCTTTCTTTGGAAAATTGTTTTAGTAATTACCCAGGCTTTGATGTCTGTGTTTCCATATGTGTTGCCATTCCTTGATGCTAGAAGTGATTTCCCTCATAACCTCTTATCCTCATAACTTTACTTCCCGGAGCATAGGACATGCTCTGAGCCTGACAGCATTATGAAACTCCTGGGCTTGTCTGGCCCATCCCTCCAGAGTGCACCACCTAGGACAGGACTTTATGAAAATGAAGTTGCCACTGACTGGAAGTCAGTAGTGATCTGCTGGGTTCAGATGAACTCAAACAAGCATGGAACCCCGAAGGCCAGGCTGTGGAAGGTCATCTCTGAACCTCCTTGAAGTAAGTTTTCAGACAGATTATTACTTATTTAGTGTTGGTTTCTGAGGTGCCACTTCATTGGGTTTTTAAAAGTTTGATGCTCGGCATAGAAGCACGAGGTCTCTACCTTGAGGACCTCGCTGAATGAGGGTGATCATTGGCAGACTCTCCGTTTTATTTTTTTCTCTTTGCAAAAGTGTCTTTTTCCTTTGTTGATATTTTACACAAAGTGTTTGGTAGAAACACTTCCAAGAAATTACTTCCCCAAAAGAAAAAACAGAGTTGAAGGGCAATGAAGATGAAACTCAAGGACAAATTTATAAAATATATACATTCTAATTTAGGTTTTAAATGGCTCACATCTCATCTTTATACTGTAATTTGTCTGATTTTCACATATTGCCCCAAATATTATTTATCATTCATTCAACAAACATTTGTTAAATTGGGCAGTTTGAAAATAAAGAGGGAGAGATTTCAACCAGAATATGAGCTCCATGAGCACGGGATTTTAGTCTGTTTCACTCACTCTTGTATCTCTAGCACTCAGAACAGTGCCTGGCACATAGGAGACAATAAGTATTTGTAGATGAATGAATGAATATTAGCATGATTTAAAAAATCATTTTAGAGTAAGAGATATAATAAGTATGTTGGACCTGGAATTGTGAATATCATAAAGCCTATCATTCAGAAAAGGAAGACCTGAAGCACACAGTGTCAGAGGAGGTACGCTACTCTATGTTCAGAGTGGGCAACTAACTATTTAGTGTTTCAGATTGTTTTTGCCTCAAAAGAGGCATGTGGTTAAGTTCATCTTTTGATTTTCACTCTTGTTTAGAAGGTAAGAGGACTATGATATCTAAAATCAATGAGTTGGTTTCATTTATTAGTCTTTTCTTTGTTTGCTTAGTGTCTATCTCTAAGGAATTCCAAGGTGTACACCAGGTGGTTGTACTAAACCTCACAGCTCAGCCCAGAGGTTGTGAGCAGAGCCCGCCCTTGGGTGGGCAGTGTGTGCTTCTGCACACAGCTCCTCGGGCAGTGCAATCTGATCTCACTGGAGTGTTCATTTTTAAATATAGTTGTTTGCTATTTCTCCATTTCTGTAGCCTTCTTAGGGCCAGCAGTAAAGAGAGGGGTAATTAGATAGGGACCTGGGGCTTTGACAAAGGACTTACTTGATTGCTCCCCTCTGTCACCCACTTTCTTTCCTGCCTACGTAGCTCAGAATGCCCATTTCTCTTCTTTGCTCCTCCAGCAGCAAAGTAAAAGTGGGAACCGAATTCAGACTCGGCCAAGGGCACTCCCCGCCTAGGAGGGCACCATCACCTCCCTTTTGTAGTCTTGGGAGCTGAGAATTTGGAGTGACTTTTCGGAAGTTACACTGTGTCTGCTGTGGTGAGAGCAGCAATTCTGTCTGAGGCTTTAGCCATAATGCTGTGCTATAAAAAGCACATGAACACAGTCTTAATATTTTTATGTTGCAGCAGTTGGCGTGTTATGGAATTTCATTTTATAAGGACCTTCAGTCCAACACATAAATCTCTCTCAGGTCAGTGAGGCTTCATGTACATGTGTGTGTGAGGTTTATTCCCCCTTATAATTCACTCTGAGTTCATCCAAGGCAAACATTTCTAAGCCAGACGATTAAAAAAACACACAGTGGTGTCCAGGGACATGCACAAGATTGACAGTCAGGATCTCAGTTCTAGATCAGACTTTGTTGCTAACCAGCTCTTTATTCAGAATGAGTCAAGACCCTGTGCTCATTTTCTTGGTTTATACACTAAGGAAATTTGCATGAAATGAACTGCAGCGACACTGTTAGCTGTAATGTCTATTGGGGTCTTTTGTCCCTCTTTTCTACTGTTTCGAATAATGGACTCTAAAGCATTGGAAAGAAGCCTCGCATCCATTCAGTAAACATTAGTGAAGTCTGAGCTAAATTGATCTAGACAACCTACGTAGTTTATAGAGGAGGAAAATGAGTGAACACAGAAAAGTCAAGGTACTTGTCTAGGTCACAAACCAATTAATAGCATAAACATGAGATTTTAAAAATCAATCATAATTTTTTTCTCTCATAAAAATGTTCCTTACTATCTTTTGGTGGTGGAATGGGTGGGGGGGGGGGGAGGGAGGGAGAGGATTGTAGAAGAAACAGAAGTTTTCACAAAAAGATGGAACTATTATTTTTGCTAAATTGGCAATGCCTATTAGGATATTCCTCGTATATCTCTGCTCCACACTCCACTTTGCTGCTCTGGAATGAGTGTTGAACTCATCATGCTCTCAGAGCCGGCTCTTCCTGACTTCTCTATCTCTTTGAACAATGTCACTATTCTCCAAGCTTTATTCATACTTCAAACATTAGTCATCTTTGACTCCTCCCCTTTCCTCGATGCATTGAAGCAATTGCTAAACTCCATGAATTCAATCTTTGCAGTATGACTTACATCGGTATTATTTCATTCCTATTATTTCTTACTACATACGTCACATAAAGTCATATTTTGAGAGCAGTGAAGAATACGGGTTTGGAGTCAGGCAGAATAAGGTTTGAGTCCTAGTTCTGCCACTTACTACCTATGTGTCATGGCTTAATCTCCCTGTACAATGGGGATCACAAGTATATTGGCCTTAAAGAGTTGTGAGAATTAATGTCAGAATGTATGTAAAATACTCAGGAGAGTGCTTAGCACATAACAGTAATCACAGGAGTCTCCCCTTGTTCTCTGTTTTGCTCTCTGCAGTTTTGCTTACTGGTGGTCAACTGTGGCCTGAAATATTAAAAGCAAAATTCCAGAAATGAACAATTCCTAAGTTTTGAATTGCTTGCCATTCTGGGAGCGTGATGAAAGCTTGCGCTGTCCTGCGCTGTCCCTCCTGGGTTGTGACTCATCCCTTTGTGCAATGTGTCCACACTGCATTCACCCCATTAGTCACTTAGTGGCCCTCTTGGTTTTCAGATCCACTGTTTCAGTATCACAGTGCGTGTGTTCATGTAACTATTATTTTAGTTCATAACGGCCCTAAGTGCAAGAGTAGTGATGATGGCCATTCAGATATGCCAAAAAGGAGCGGGAGAGTGCTTTTAAGTGAAAAGGTGAAAGTTCTCAATTGAAAAGGAAAGAAGAAATTGTAGACCTCAGTTGCTGAGGTCTACAGTAAGAACAAATCTTTAATCTGTAAAATTGTGAAGAAGAAAAAAGAAATTCGTGTTAGTTTTGCTGTCATACCTCAGACTGCAGAGCTATGGCTACAGTGCATGCTGTGGTTAGTAAAGATGGAAAAGGTATTTTTTGGGGTAGAGACATAAACAGAAAACTTGTTCCTACTGATGGCAGCATGTTGTGCCAAAAAACATTGAGCCTATAGGAAGACTTCAGGAAGAGATCTTTGAAATGAGTGGCACCAAGCCATTTACCAAGTAAGGGATGGTTACCCAGATTCAATAGATTTGGACTGAAAAATATAAAAATTACTCAAGAGAGAGAAACACCACATTCACGTAACTTCTATTACAGTATGTTGTTATAATTGTTCTATTTTGTTATTAGTTATTGTTGTTCATCTCTTATTGTGCCTAATTTATAAATTAAACTTTAGCATAGGCATGTAAGTATAGGAAAAAGATAGTATATGTAGGGTTCAGTACTATCCGTGGTTTCAGGCATTCACTGGGGGGCTTGGAACGTTTCCCTTGCAGATAAGGGGGGCATTACTGCAATACTGGTCACCCCTCCTTGTCCACCCTACTTCCGGGTAGCAGGTTGGTCCTCTTAAAGCCCAGCTCTGACATTCTTTCTTTCTTTCATACTCCCAACGAGAGACCTCACCTCAGGGTGGTTAAAGCTGTCTTCTGCAGCTGACTGCCTGGGTTACCATTGACTAGCTGTGTGACCTTGACCAAGTTTCCTAACTTCTCTCTGCCTCAGTAACATAGGAATAATAGCATCTTCCTCAAAAGGTTATTATGAAGTTTATATTACTTAACATTAATAGTTAATATTTTTAAGTGCCTGGCACACGGGAAGTCAATATCAATTTTTGATAAATAAAAACTTATGCTGGCTTCTTATATTTGCTATTTCATAAGCACGCTCTGTATTAATTTCTTTGGTCCTGCTGTTTTTTCCTCCTGGAATGCTGAGTGGTTTAATGGAAAGAGTACTTGCAGCCCAGGGAGCGGAGTAGGTTTCATTTACCTGCCAGCTTTGACTTAGTGGTAGGAGCGGCCTGAATTACTTGCGAAGCATTCTGAGGCCTAGTGTGGTTTCAGTGGGAGACTGGCTGATGGTGCCTCCAATAGGCCCCGAGGGAGAAGTAGACACCTCTTTGTATTTTGCCACAATAAAGCAGATGTCATAGTCATTTGTAAGAATTACAATGTTTTCATGATAAAAATATACAGTTCAGGGTGAGAGATAAATTTTCTTAATACTGAGGACTAAAGAAAAGAATCAATCCTGTGTGGCTCTTCATAAATAGCATTCTTCTGATTGCTTTATATACTTGAATTCATTTATGGTGCACATCACTTTCTGAGATAGATACTATTTTGTCCTCATTTCCTTTTTATAGATATGGGAGCAAAGGCACAAGGAGGTCAAGTAACTTGCATGAAATGATGCAATTAATAAATATTAGGGAATTTGAAACCTGGGTATCTAGCTCCAAAGTCTACCCTTTTGGCTACTATACTGTTACTTTTTAAAAACTGATTTTAGAGAGAAAGAGGACAGGAGACACACACACACACACACACACACACACACACAGAGAGAGAGAGAGAGAGAGAGAGAGAGAGAGAGAGAGAGAGAAACATTGATTTGTTGTTCCACTTATTTATACATTCATTGGTTGATTCTTGTATTTACCCTGATCAGGGATCAAACCCCAACTGAGCTAGCTATAGGACCAGGGCCTTTGGGTTACTTTTTAAGTAAATCTAATCTATCCTATCTAATAATAGACAAACATGGTAATTAACCATACCTCTGACACGCTTCCCATCGGCTAATCAGGGCGATATGCAAATTAACTGCCAACCAAGATGGCGGCCAGCAGCCAGGCAGCTGAAGCGAACAGGAGGCTTGCTTGCTCCAGTGATGGAGGAAGCCAAGGTTCCCTGCCTGCCACTGCCGGCATCTGAGCTGCTCTCTAAGAAACAATGTTGCAATTATAGAAGATAAAAAAAACCCCCAGATACCTGCTTTCAGCTGTCAGAGCTGGAGCTAGTAGGACCAAAACAATGTTGCAATTATAGAACCAAAACAAACCCTAGATTTCTTCTTTCAGCAGCTGAGGCCTCAAGCTGGAGCCGGCCTCAGAGCTAAAGCCGGCTCTCAGCTCCAGTGACAGCCATAGAAGGTAAATAAATCCCAGAATAAAAGAAAAAAAGAAAAAAAGGAGAGGTTGGGAGCTTCAGTCACCCGCCAGCCATGAAAACGGCCCTCAGCCCCTCACCCAGACTGCCAGGCA